ATGTAAAATAATTGAATTAACAAACATTTGGTAAATTCATATATATGTTTTGGAAGAAAAATAATTTCTAATATACAAATATAAAAAAATGTGGTTAATTAACATATTAATTAACTATATTCGTAATGCATGTGAATTTAATAAAATAGTAACATGCTTAAAGCATAAATAATATTCTGAATATTTTTTTACCAAAAAACTTTTAGGGTCATTTTGTAAAAAAAAAAACTTATGGGGCAAAAATAGCATTAAGAAAAATATATCCTTTGGTGCCATGTGGCTGCCACATTAGGCTTTTTATGGCAATGTCTAGACCCTTTTGGGTTTTAGTATTTACGGCACTTTTATTTTAATGTTGCTTCTTTAGTATAGTGGTTAAACAGTATTTTTTTAAGTCTTAATGACTTTCTTAGTGCATGTTCGAATCCTACTAGTTGCATTTTCTTTTCCAATTTTTTTTTTGTTGCCATCCATAAGGCACCACGTGGCCTTAGACCAATGTACCTGTTTGCATTGGATTAAAGCCTACCCCTTTTCATATCAGTTTCAAAATTAATCAGTATCGATAATTATAATCAAAACAAGCTTTCAATATATATATAAATTAAAAGGATGAAAGCAATCCAAAACTTGCTCTGATACCACTGTTGGAAAGTAGGCTTACCTTTCAAATAAATATTCCACTCCCTTTCTGATCAAAGACTCTTGCCTTACAAATCCTTCTTCGTGCACACAATAATTTCTTCACTCTTGTTGTTATGGAGCAACTTCTAGAATCCTGCACAAGGATATATACGTTCCAAAACCTTCTAGCCTTTGATGGTGCCTCAAGAATGAAGGGAAAGAAAAAAGAAGAAAAGAATTTTTGCCTTTGATGGTGCCTCAAGAATGAGGGAAAGAAAAAAGAAGAAAAGAATTTTTGCTTTTTCTAACTTACAAAAGAACACGCATTCACTCTTGGGCTGTATTTTGAAACTACTACATCTATACACTATTTATAGAGGTATTAGGGATGATAGGATATTATATTTAAATTTAAACAAATTAAATTTAAATATAATTAATCTTTATTTAAATTTAAACAAATTAAATTTAAATTTATATCCTATCTCAAACATTTACAATTAATTATTCAATTAAGTTATTTCATAACAATATCTAATATTAATCAATTGAATATTAGTTAATCATCCACAAATAATTAATAAAGTTG